GGATGATAGTCATATTACAACTATATGAATTTTCAATTTTTATGAAACTGCCAATGCACAACTTTCTCAGTATGCATGAGGGCGCTATACAACGTTTCGGAAAAAATGATTTATGTATCTTTCTCAACTTACATGATGAGGGCGCCATAGAACATTTTCACAACAAATACAAGTTGAGGGCGCTGCACAACACTTTCTGAACAGATATGTTGAGGGCACTGTAGTGAATTTGCAGCAAGAGAAAACTTTTGAACCATCATTTTATTTGACATATGCTAAGTAAATTTCTTTACAGTATCAAGGTACATTTCAAGGAATATATTGAATGAGACATTTGTTGCCCCCCCCAAAGAAATTCTGTATTGGGAGGGTACTCTCTAATTAACAAGAATGACACAGCTTGCTGGAAACATGCTTTTTATTTCTGCACCATTGAAGTAACTTTTCAAAAACTTTGTATCATTAAGAAACAATACAATAAATCAGCATATTTAAGTAGGCCGATATTAGACAACACTTACAAACAGTATCCCAGCTAAAAATGCAATATTTTCACAAAAATTGTTCAACAATTTGATAATTTTGATTAAAAACTCAAGAATTGCATGAAAAATAGTGATAATATTGCCGTCAAATTCTATAAACACGGTTTAAGTACATAATGAAGCAGCTTATGAAGTATATTCTACTAAAAAAAATCTGACATAAGAGAAAATAGCAAATCAACTGAAATGCAGACAAAAAGAATCCCAAATATCTCTTCTCATGTAAATTGCCTTCAGAAATCTGTAAACATTTATAGGAATTTGATTTTATGATAAACAAGGTAACATGCAGTAATACTCACAACAACAAAAAACACACTTTATTCACAACTTTTTAAAAATTTAAATCATGCTCTCACGATTGGACTTTTTAAATGAATAATAAATTTATATATATAAAAAGCAACACAGAACATTTAAATAATTTTACACCCAGATATTTGTTATGCAACACATTTGCATACATAATTATTTTTAATTAGGACATTGTCGTCAGTTACAAAGTAAGGAATTTTCAGGTATGTCATATATTTTCTGAAAGTTTGGATATGCTTTATTCAACATGTACTTGGCTGGGAAAGATTTATCACATCACATAATGCTGGAATCAGAATTAATTTTTCTGTTCTTGTTTTTGAAGTGGAGAGTACTCCATAGCTATTTCCACACCAGACATGGTTCCCTGAAAACTATTAAAATTTTTGACTGTGGTAGAACTGTATGATTAACTTCCTGTCATGAGGACAGAATGGCAAGTTAATAATGCACTATCTACATTGTAGGCATCAAATGGAGTCAATTAAACACATGCACTTATAGGCCTTGATGAAGGTTCCCATGTAGTCACATCCATTCAGCCTTTCCATTGCGTGTGTGGCACAATCATACTCCCACAAGTATGGGAATTCTTTGGTGTTCAATGTCAAAAAGGTTTTAAATCACGACAACTGAGCATTCAGATTACCATGTAATACAATACATCATGAAATAACATGCATGACAAAATAATTTTCACTTAGGGACAACGTCAAAAGATCGATGTCGGATAAAAAACTTAATTCCTTTAGTTTTTTTCCAAACCCCCCTACCCCCCACTGAAACTTAATTGATAAATATTGGTCATGGCGTCAGACTACATTCACCATTAAATACAAATTGATAATCGGACAGGAGTATTGCATAGCAGTTGGTTGTCGGGTGGGTGTAAAAAGAGTTTACAAATGCACCTCATTTGACTCACAGATTTACACTTGAACCAAACCATTTTTCTGTTGTTTTTTTTCCTTTTCGGTTATTTCTGTCCATGATTGGATAGAACTACAAATACTCCAAGATTTTTTTTGACTTCATTAAAAAATAAAATCGTTTTTGTAGGATGAAAACTTTTTGAGGTCAAAACCCCCCACCCCCAAACTAAAGGAAATAAGTTTTTTATCCGACATCGATCTTTTGACATCGTCATACGCCATCAAACTCTCTGATTTATCAAAGCTTTCAGAAAATAAATATTTCCTTATCAGTGTGCATTTAGTAACAGACACAGAATGGCATAATTAAATAATTAATAACACAAATATTGTCATTAAATAGCTGCTGATGTACACATTGAAACTTAAATGAATATATGTGCTACATTAAAATACAGTGACGATGGGGAAAGCTAGAATTATAATTATTAAATACAGAATTTTAATAAAATAAATAAATTCTAGTTGGTACGGATTATTATGACGACTTTAATATGTGCAGCTATAATTTACAACAATCTCAGTTACGAGCTGCAGCATCTACAGCATCTTGCGCCGCTTCCTGATCCTGAAAATTATGACAAATAAATGGATTTATTTTATGAATTTTATGAATATCATTTATCACAGCATGCTCCAACCATATGTTCAAGCTCTAAGTTTTGGTATCCTTCTTATTGGTTCAAATCAGATTGAGAACAGAGACGAGAACATAACAAGAACAGAGACGAGACTAGACCAGAAACGAGACGAGAACAGAAACGAGACGAGAACAGAGACGAGGACAGACAGACGAACAGACAGAAAATCAGTAGTAAAACACACTGCATTCTGTCCTGAAACAAAACTTACTTACTCAGAACCATCTACTGTGGATGAAGACAACACAAATCACTGAATATAATTTCACAAATAAATTTATTCCATTTTTATTGAAAATCTCCACAATAATGATTTGGGTAAATCTCTAAACACAAATCCAGCAGTTGAAATATTGGTTCATACTATTTAGTATGACAGTGAAAAACCAACACGATTTTGTCAATGATTGTTCAGTAATCCAAGCGAAAAATCATACGAATGATATCCATAACAAATTCTCATCAATTTAACTTGACCATGAACTGAACAGAACCAAACACTATACCGTAAAATACTTAATTTTGGCTTGGAATTAATTTGCGCTGAAGGAATGATTCAGTGAAAATAAAACCCAGAGAATATACCTATTTGCCTATATTTTACATTCAACTAGTCAAAAATCAGTGAAAAATAAATTCCATACAAAACATCCCAAAAAAAGTTTTCAGTAAAAATAAAGTATTTTACAGTCTTATTGAATGATTTTACTACAAGATACAGTTAGACATGACCACAGATATATGAATTAAAGCAAAAGAATAAAACTACAATTATTAGAAATGCAGAAACTTTTTTTTATTATAAATGCTTTTAGTTTAACACAATTGGACAAACATATGATTAGGATTAGCAGTATTGAAGGTACATAAAGACAATTTTTCATGAGTCACTGAAAATGTGACATTTTGCAGCAGTGAAAATGTCTCTGGAGCCTTACAACACGGAATGTCAGTGACTTCTCAAAATTTGGTTTTTATAAATTGCTTAGTCTTTTCCACGAAACGAAACGAAACCCTAACCCTAACCTTAAATTGTGAATGACTTCAAATATTGCCACGTCACAGAAATAAATTTGTCAAGAATATTTAGTTTCCACTACTTTTTCGCCTACTTTGCAACTTGATTCATTTGTGCTGACATGACGTGACAGCCATTTTGGAATTGTAGAACACTGATGGCGCTATTCATTTCGTGTTTCACAGTGTGAAATTTTCTCAGATATTATCAGGCCAATGAAAACAAATGCAGGTTAGAGTTGTAGAACACTGATGGCGCTATTCATTTCGTGTTTCACAGTGTGAAATTTTCTCAGATATTATCAGGCCAATGAAAACAAATGCGGGTTAGAGTTGTAGAACACTGATGGCGCTATTCATTTCGTGTTTCACAGTGTGAAATTTTCTCAGATATTATCAGGCCAATGAAAACAAATGTGGGTTAGAGTTTCGTTTCGTTTTGTTTCGTCGAAAAGACTAAGCCTTTATGAATGCCATAAAATCTTTTCTAAAAAAGTTAAATACACTAAGCCATTAAAAGTCTTTAATTTATAATAAAATTACACTTCATGCATTACCATGACAATAATTACTAAAATACAAAATACATACATTTATTACAGAAGTGAAGCTTGGCTGATGAGTGTATGCGGTATGTACGTACTAGTGTAAACCAATCTAACTTCTTGAGAGACAGATTATAGTAAATTCCATGAGTTAGTGAAAATGGCTAAGTTTTGAAGCAGTGAACCTTTCAATGGAGTCATGAAGGCATCAGATCAGAGTGACGTTCAATGAGGTTCATAGAAACTTTTTTTTTTTAAAACATTTTTTGTGCCAGGCGACAGGTTCTGGACATTGAGTATCACTGTTGTCTCTTCTGACATTTTTTTTTGTATGTGCAAATTGCAAGTGCATAGAAGTGCATAGAAGTCATAGAAACTTTGGTGAAATGTCGTCTTCATGAATTCCATTTCATCATCAAAACGTGGCAGAAAATTAAATGGTTTACAAGAGATTCTGAATGCATCAGCCAAACATCACATGCAATGGACTAAACCATTATAAATGCAGGCGTTACAGGGCACAGTGAATGGGGTGAAAAGGAAGAGATGATCATGCATATGATGACTTCTAGACGCTAACCTGTTCATCCCAGCCTTCACTCTCCCCTGCAAGTTGATAATGTTGTTTCCGTAATCCCGCTAATTTCCGTCGTTCTTTTTCCAGTCTACTCTCCAGCTCCAGCACCTCTACTTGGGAGTCCATCTCCAGTCTCTTTGTCTCCATCAGTGTCATCTTGCTGAAGTCCATTGTATCTGAAGACAGAACAGGAAGTACCGGTAAGCGATACAGTGTAATGGTTTGTATGCAAAAGTTAAAGGAGAAGATCATACATAATTTCAAGAAAGGGTAGAGATAATTATGTCAGTATCAAATCATTTTCTGATGTATGTATGGCAGTTTCAGAAAGGCCAACATTAATGCATTTCTAGTATTAATCCAAACTTTTTCTTTTCGGTAACCTAGATTTTTTAAGGCTGATTTTTTTATGGCTAAACTGGGAAATCGGCACTTGTAGATCTTTTAGCTCTAAATGTCAACTTGTAAATGGAAGATGTGGTGTATTATTGAAAAATACTCTCATATAACAGTATGGGCCAAGAAGCATTGTGGAATAATAAAACGTTATTTCTACATACCAACCCAGATTTGTTTTCAGTGCTATCAGAAACACACTATTAATTTCATTTCACTCGATGTCATTTGCATGTGCTGCTAGTTAATATCCGCAGAAAACAGTATGCACAGTATATCTTGACGCTAAATAATTCACACCAATGCACCGCTTTTTACACACACATACCTTTCTCTTCAATCATTTGTGCCCCAGATTTGGCAGTTGCGACCACGTTAGCAGTAGACTCAGCCACTTTTCTTGATGCAGTGTGCAGCGACTGCATGGTTTTACTTTTATCGCCAGCTTTGACACGACTCGCTGCTACTAACTGTGCCGTACTTGCTGCTATCTCATGAGAGCACGCGATCAGCTCTTCGTATTTACCGCTACCCAGGACAACTTTGTCTGCACCATCACTATAATTAAAACAGAACCAGGATCAAATGCTTGAAGTGTGAAAATAAATAAGTTTGAAATTTTGGTAGAATGATATGAAAAATACCTTCAAATGCTCAAATGGTGAACATTTCTAACAAATGCAAATGCAGAGATTGAATTTTATAATGGTATTGAAAGAGTTTGCAGCAGAATTACTAGTATTACTTACACAAGAACGCTTGCACCCCACCCAACAGCTTTAGCAGCAGATATGAGACCTTCCGTCCATCTGTTGTTTCGGGCATAAAACTCTTTAGACGATGAAGTACCCTGTCAAAGAAAATTGGTTAAATCAGGTGTAATTTTTTTATTTTCATAAATGGTAAGATTAGTCGGTGTTCATAACAGGAAGGCAAAAGAAATGAAATTCAGGTTGACAAGATGAAACATGTTGTGTTGCAGTAGAATTGAAATATTTATTTATTATTAACCTTTTCACCACCACTTTCTTCTTTTCATCAAAAATTCACAAAATAGTCCCATTTATAGTCTGCACTTTCTTTCAAAACATTGGGACAAAAATAGCCAATTTTTTGAGTAAAAACAAAAAAATGACTCAAATTTTGTCTGTTGGTTCCAAAATTAGGGTTCATTTCCAGAAATATTGAAAGAGTATAGGAAAAAAGTGCAGAAAAATTTGGGCAAGAAAGCCTTGCTGTGAAAAGATTAGGCCATTAGTTTTGAAAAAAAAAAAACACTGCATGTCAGAAAATTGACTATATCAATACATACATGATATACTTCAATGTAAATATGACATGTTAACATAGAAGTACAAATTATAGCAAATAAAAGTAGAAATCTAACCACAATCAATAATAGTATACTGTAAATATATTAATAATTCATTTGTTTTTATTTTCACTATTTTCGTTCATAAGTGAAATTTGTTAAATTAAATCCATGTGAACTTGTAGAATAACAATAGAACTCATTGTTTTTCTGCCAAGTTTGTAATCCAGTGAAATTGCTCAAAACATTAAAATAGTGAAAATAAATGGTTTGACAGTACTTGATTTTGTGGCAGCTAAGTTACATGGCGCCCTCTATCAACAGTTGAGTTAATTTCATTAGATTGCTTGAGGGCTCTGTAAGTAACACTTTACAACTGTGTCTCCAACAGCAGGGCATCAGGTTTCGTGCAACGAACAACAATCAAAATATTATTGGTAATATTCTTTTCAGGCCACAACATTCCTAAAAATGTATTAGTGTACTTATTCTAAAATTTGAATGCATAACATTAATGCAGATTAAAGGAAATTAGCAACTTGCGTTTCAGGCAAGGGTTTCATCATGCTTTGCTTTGCGAGTGAAAGCCCTGTTGATGATCACTATTTTTGCTCTGTCTGCTAAAAACTATTGAAAAAACATTTTATCTTCAATATATTCTATGGAAAAGATTGAAATGCTGTTTTTAGCAAAAAATTGTAGAAATAATCACATAAACATTTACCAAACACTGATATGAGCTGGCTCTATCATCAGCAAACATGAAAAAAAAAAAAATTTTATTATTTAACTAAAAATATGACTTAGATTGATCATGTCATTTACCCAAGCGTGTGATACTAATAAAATAAAACCAGTTACCTTGCCGACATCCACTATTTCACTCTGTAAAACTTTTGATCGGTTAATTAACACTTTGATGTCCCTCATCAACAGAGTACAGGCATCCAATATTCTGGAGTTCACTTCTAATTGTATGCCAGAACTCTCCTCTCGAGATTTATTCAACATTTCCTAGAAATATAAAATTTGTTATTTTATGCGATTTTTGTTTCACATGAGAATGGAGACTCTGCTTAAAATTGTTCATCTTTTTATGTATTCACTAAACCAGTTCAAGGAAAACAATTTAACCATTATTAATAACATATTTGTGACCTTCAGGGTCACGCTGGTACCAGGATGTGTGACCTTTTGGGGTTATGTTAGTACCAGGATGTGTGACCTTCTGGGTCATACTAGTACCAGGATGTGTGACCTTCAGGGTCATGCTAGTACCAGGATGTGTGACCTTTTGGGGTTATGCTAGTACCAGGATGTGTGACCTTCTGGGGTTATGCTAGTACCAGGATGTGTGGCCTTCTGGGGTCATGCTGTTACCAGGATGTGTGACCTTCTGGGTCATACTAGTACCAGGATGTGTGACCTTATACTTATAAACATAGTACCTCAATTCTCTTGACTGCCTCATCTACTTGTTCAGCCGTCGTCTGCATCTCCAAGTCCACCATATCTCCGAGTTCTTCTTTGCCCACATCTGCATCTTTGATCACCAAACCCTGGATAAAATAAAACAATGTACTGAAGCAACATAAAACACAGTTCTAACAATTTGCGCAATAATATATTAAATCAGAAATACTTTTCTCAAAAATTATATTAATACCACTGTTTGGTGGCAGTAAAATTATTCTACAGCAATGTGTGACAATATCAGGTCATTAATCTTTTCTATGACGAACTGCAACCATTTCAATATACGCTCATTATAAACTATCTTTTAAGTTATACTTTAGTTTTCAGCAATGTGCACTGAATAGACCATATTTTGTGCATGTGAGATGGTGTGTTATGCGTCAAACATGAACACAGGACAAACAAAGGTCATAGCATCAAGTGATGTCAAAACTTTGTGTGGAACTCGACAAACAGGAAAGTATTTTTGGGGTATTTCCATGCTTAATAATATACACATTTAATGATTCTCAATTTTATTGAAGTAAGGATATCTCAATTCCATATTTTTCTCTAGAAGCTTGGTACTGTAGAAGACATTATTTTCACTTGGAATTTATTTTCGCTGATGAAATGATTCAGTGAAAATAAAATCCAGCGAAAATATCAACTAAAAATAAATCACTGAATATTTCTTTATTTACAGTTGTACATTACAGCAAGTCTCAGACGTGAATTGGTTTACTGCTTTGGTTTTGACTGAATTGTTAGCTTTCGAATTTTGCTGGCACTTTGGGTGAACCTATATAACAGCATCATACTTTAGGAGCTAATCAGTGACGAGGGTCTTACAGTTGGATATCTATTTCGCTTTCAAATATACCAGGAAAAGTGTTCTCTATTCTTCTGTTCTCTGTAATGAGGTGTTCGTATAAAAGTGATTGTCCAGCAAAAATGACGAATGAGATCAAATTTTTTAGCGATTGGCTTAATGTTACCCCAACAGATCATTTGGATGTGAAAGTTTGTTGTTTTCTGATTTGTAGGAAACTGTTTCTCAACTTGTCTTTTTATTTAGTTTCAAGCAGTGTTCAAGATTACCCCCACATAGTAAATATCAGTGGGTTAATCGCATTCATCATATTATCACTTGTACGCCAGCTGACTGTGGTCATTCTCAGGCTGAACAGGGAAACTGCTTTCACATTATCATGCCTGGCATAACAAAGCAAATCATTCTTGGGAATCTAGACATGTACCAGGCTACGTAAAAACATTCTATGTCCCCTAATGCAATATAGACTTGCCCAGAGTGAGCGCGACCACATGTCGGCGCCAGTGAGATTCAAAACCCAACTGTTTAGTCAAAACACCAGCAGTTTGCCAACTCGCTAGCGAATTTGCAAATTGGCTGCCCCAATACTTCCGAGACTTGCTGTAAAAAATCAACAAAAACGGATAGCTGTTGTAACTTCAATCTTTGGCACTGAATCCAAAGATAAGATTAAAGCAACCATCTTTACCTGTGCAATGTTTTGTATATCTTTCAATACAGTTTGTACTTTCACTGTTCTCTCATATACTCTGTCTTTGTTGTTCTTTTGTTTAACTTCAGCTAATAACTCCAGAGCTTTCTCACCACTACTTTTACAATGATCTGATAACGCTGTAATAATAACAAAACAGATGTTTGAACACTGCCCTCTGGAGTTTCAAAATGGCCCTCTAGTGGTAGGTTATTTCTCTTCAGCTGATATCAAATGTTTCTTTCTACATGTAATAATGATAATAAGTAACAATAACAAAACAGATTGAATACTGCCCTCTGGAGTTTTAAAACTGCCCTCTAGTGGTAAGTCATTTCACTTTGACTGTTTTTTCACTGCCAGTCTTACAGCACATTCAGAAGAACGGCTCATAATATTTTAAATAATACAATACTAGTACACAAGCTCCCAGTCTACTACAAAAACTAATTGAATGATATACATACCCAGTCCTCGGTCTACAGGTGCCATATGTGATGTAGCTTTACCATGAAGTATAAAGTCACTAAGTAAGTGTGAAAAACTTGCAACACTTCTCACCAATGATGAAACAACTGAAATAAGTAAGGTTAGATTTGTCTAAATGTACAGATTTGAATTGATGTTTTTATTTTAAATCTATGTTAACCATAAGTGTAACCATGACAACCCTTTTCAAATTTATGGTAACCATCATCTTTTTTTTTTTTTTTTGATAGGGTTGCGTGGCCATCTCTCTGTCAAATGGCAACTTGTAATGCACTATCCTGGTGTCAACCAGGCCCGGTAGAACACAAGCACCTGCGGACCTTAGCCAAGGTTCCCCCAAAGTCGCATTCGTTAATGAATGAATCTCGGCCAGTGGAATTGGCCTTCCCATTGAGTCTGTGGCACACTCACCCATGTTCAGCCTAAGGTAGGATTTGAACTTGGGTCTACCGATCATGAGTCTGATGCAACAACCACTATGCTACCAGTGACCGGTATCTGATGTCATGGCAACACCAACTTTAACTCATAGAAACCCACATCTGATACTATTGCAATACCATGGCAGCCAACACCATGTGCAATCCACACCCAATACCATAGCAATTATCACAGATGATTCAAACCTATATTTGACACCATGGGAACCCCAATTTGTTACCATGGCAACTAAATTGTATCATGAAATGTCATGAACCTTCATACCTGAATTATTATCAGCAAAACCATCATAATTTGACTTTGTGGAATTCAGCGACTCTTCCAATGAATTCATTCTCGTCAACAAATATTCTGAATAAATTAAACAAACATGATATGACAAATATTTGCTAACAAGGAAGAAGTTGAATTTTAATTTATATTATATTCTAAATTAGCAAACCAATTATAGCGAACAAGGAAAACTTTACGGTTATAGAAGAAAAACAAGCATCATGGTTATAGAGGTTATGGCATTCTCGTCATCAGAGCTTAATTTGCTTTAAGATGCAAAACAAAACAAATCCTTTTGGTAGACTTAGCGTAAAGAGACCTTGGTGTACAATGATGGGTCATGGCGAAAAGAAGTTAGCTTACCTGCTGTACAAGTCGAGGACGAAAATTGAGGATTTTCCATTTCATCTAAAGCTTTCCGTATCACATCCTCTGCTTCTTCCACTGAGTTAACTGCAAAGTGGAAAAAATTATACATGGTTAGTTTACACATGTAACTGCTGGAAACAACTACTGTGGAATACTTTATTTTTGCTGGAATAAATTTTCGCTGAAAAGGCTTTTTGGTCGTTTTGTATGGAGTTTATTTTCACTGATTTTTGATCAGTTTAATGTGAAATATAGGAAAAAAAGTATATTCGCTGGATTTTATTTTCACGGAATCATCCCTCCAGCGAAAATAATAACGAAAATAATTTCCAAGCGAAAATAAAGTAGTCTACAGTATTTCAATAATTAAGATTCTTCAATATTTAACGTTGTTCTTGTTAACAATATCCCACAGTGGGCAAACTTAGTCTGTCTATTTATGTTCTAGTTTGGGGGGAGGAGCAAACAAATTCTACATCAACGCAATAAAGGGCAAGTCGTCCACTGGAAGTGGACTTACTAATGCAGTCAAGCTTCATTCATAGAACAAGTGAACTTCATTATGGGAAATGATTTGCATAATGTATAATATTGCACAGAATATCAACAATGGTATGATATGATTTTGATATGACTTTGATATGATGTAGATTGATAATCATCTGGTGAACTGTACATCCTTACAGGATGTTCAATTTCACAAAAACATTGAGAATTTCCTCATTTTGGTACACTGGAAAATTATTTTATTATAATCTATAAAATGTAATAATAAAACAGGGGTCAGCGACTTCGTTTTTGAGGAAATCGTACTACAGCTCTTTGTGAAAAAAATAACACATGTCATGAAATAGTCCCCGTTGGTATTAGTAAACAATGAGAACATGAAACAAATAACATACATATAAGGTAGATGTGAAGCCAATACATATCAAATCTGATATGAAAAAAAACTATGGTCGTGTTATATGTTCAATGAATGTACCAAGATGGCAAAGTCCATGAATAACCAGGATCTGGGTCTGGATGGCAGAAAGCTCAATTTTGATGTATATTTAACATTAAAATGTCCATTTTTTGGCCATCTTGAATCAGTTACAACAAATTCATCCATGCACAATCAAGATCTTGTTCCAGAATGGTAAAAATTTAAAAATTGTTACATCAGCCATCTCAAATTTGATCATTAAACAAATGAACATGCATATGTATCCCAAGATATATGATGTGTGTGTGATGCTTGAATTTGATTGGCTGAGACACGTCTATGACGCATGTATGGACAGACTGGCGGACAGAGACATGCACACACACACAGGTCAAGCCCTGTTTTTTGGACTGCGTCAGAATTGAGACTAAAAATTTTTTTTTTTTAATTTTGGGATAATGATAAGGTTTGCACAGAACAAAAAACAAATAATGGGTTACCGATCTTTTTAAAATGGTATTAAAGTTTTTAATAGTTTGAGTCACATTAAAACATGTGTGATAAAACATGTTCTGTAATGTGAAATTGCTTTTACATCCACTTAGAAGAATTCATGACATAGAAACTGTAACATCAAGTATATTTAAACGTTTTCCAAAACCATTGAGATTTTTTAAACTTGCATTATGCTCATCTTCATATGAGCCTTGATTCCAACTAGTGTGGATTGTGCACTCTATAATGTGAACACCACCAAAGTGAAACTGATCGAGCAAGCTTAACTCAAAACAAGTCAGGGTAAATTGTGAAATTTTACCGGGATTCATACCTAAAACACCAAATGTGTCCTCTTCCATTTTCTTTTTCAACGCTTCCTCTGCTGTAGTTCTTTCAACAATAGTTTTTTGTAAATCTGATACTTGTTTTCTAAAATCTTCTTCTACTTCCATTTTCTCTTGCACAGTTCTTTCTAAATTACCAACCCTCATCCTGAGGTCCTCCTCTGCAGCTCGTTTCTCCTCAACTGCTTTCTGGAGCCCCTCCTCCGTCTTTCTAAGTCCTTGTTCAGATGCAATTTTATCATCAAGTGTCCTCTGTAAGTGTTCAATCTCCGTCCGAAGGGCATCTTCAGAGACTGTTTTTGCAACAATTATTTCCTCAAGGTCATTAGTTTTCTTGATCAGAGCCACACACGATACTTCCTTCTCTTTGACGGCCAGCTCCATCCGTTCAAGCGACTCTGCTGCTTCTTTTTTGGCCTTTTCGGTTTCTTCAGTGGTTTGCGAAACAACCGTGAGTTGTTTTGATACTTCTGCATTCTGTAACAATATGGAACACAAATATTGTTTAGTAATGAGGGGAATGGCATATTCTACTTCCCTTGAAAGATTTTTGAGTTGACGAACAAATCAATTGGGATTGATTTTGTGGGCCAAAAATCCTGAAGGTTATTGGGACAGTCAATTACCTTAATAGTTGAAAACGTGTAATTTCATCGCCATTTGTAAACAAAGATTTTAAGATTGTATACATGCACAACAAATTAACGAATAGACTGTTGTATTATTCGCAAAGTTGCATCACTTAGGAAAGGTTCATATGCTGTATTTGCTCTATTAGTAGCACATCAATTTTTGTGACTGTGGTCAAAATAAGTCATATTTTAAAAATCCAGCATACAATGAATGCAATGTTTTGTCTATATATGCTTCTATTAGAGATGCGCTTTTATTAGAGCAAATACAGTAGCCATGTGTCTAAGTGCTGACCACACAACACACAATCTGAATATGGTGTACTTGTTATACTGTAAAATACTTTATTTTCACTTAGAATTAATTTTCGCCATTTTTCACTGAAGGAATGATTCAGTGAAAATAAAATCCAGCGAATATACCCTTCCCTATATTTTACATTCAACTCATCAAAAATCAGTGAAAATAAATTCCATACAAAACACCCAAAAAGTCTTTTCAGAGAAAATTAATTCCAGCTAAAATAAAGTATTTTACAGTAGTACATGTGCACAATGAGAAATAACTGATTGAAGAGTGAAATAACATATTATGTGTTCTCAACAGTAAGTTGTGTTTGCTATGTTCATGTTACTACGGTAGTGTTCCACGTG